TGGACTTAGAAACACACATGGGGTCTGGGGTGGGGGAGTGATGTTACAGGAAGGAAGAGGAAGGGATGGGAGGATGCAACTAGAAGCCAAGAAAAAACATGGACTGCCGGGAGCCACCAGGAGGTGGAAGAGGCAGGAAGGATCCACCTTTAGGACCTTTGGAGGGAGCGCAGTCCTGCTGACCCCTTGATTTTGGACTCCTGGCCTCCAGAACTGAGAGAGTATGTTTCTATCGTTCTAAGTCACCTGGTTTGTGTTCTTACATTACAGTAGCTGTAGGAAACAAAATATTATCAACCAAGGGGGAAGGGGAAGCACAGGGAGGCTGTCATCTGCCCATCGTCACGTATGAAATGCCACTAGGACCCAGGACACTGCAGTGGCTCCAGGGTGCTTCCCACTATGCCCAAGTCATTCACAGACAAATGAAGGCGGTTCTTTAAAAACAAAAGTGATTGCAGGGACTTCCCTGGTGGTCCAGTGGCTAAGACTCCATGCTCCCATTGCAGGGGACCAAGGTTCAATTCCTCATCAGGGAACTAGGTTTCCAACTAAACATCCTGCATGCAACAACTAGGAGTTTGCACACCACAACTACATGCTGTAACTAAAGATCCCAGATGCCTCAAGACCCAGTGCAGCCAAATAAATAAACATTTTGGTGGTGGGGGGAAAGTCACTGCAGTTCAAATAGCAGCATGCAGAGCAGTGAAATCTTCAGACTGTGGACCCAGGCAGACCTGATGGTTAACGTCAGCCCAGCCACTCACCAGTGTGGCCTCGGACAAATGACCTGGCTTCTCTGAGCCTCAGTTTCCGCATCTGAAAACCGAGTCAAACAACTGCATGTACTTCACAGGGCTGTTGGAAAGTGAGAATGAGGTAATCTGGGCAAAATGCTTAGTGTGGTGTTTAGCACCCAATCAGCCTGAAATCAAGGTTAGCTATGAATACACAGTTGTTAACAATTTCTCAGACTCTGCCTCTTCACATTGTTTGGAGCAGATTCCTGGGCTTGGCATTTCACAGTCCTCTGTAATGAGAGCTTTGATGTTGAATTATTATTCCAAAGCTCAGGAAAGGCAACTTCCCCCACCTCAAGGAGCTAGAGGGAACCTGGTTTTGGCTTCTGGCTCTTTCCATGAGAGTCATCCATCCTGGCTTCATTGTCTTTACTCATTTACCTTCTCAATTTGTTCCATCAAATTTCTTCTTGCTGGCCTTTTTCCAGCCTCCCCTGAAGTGAGCTTAATGTAATTTGGGGACACTGGGTGGCTTATTCTGAAAAAGGCAAACCTTTAAATTGTATATGAAGGACACATCGTATCTTTAGTCCAAAATCTTTCAGGTAACTGTGAACTGAGAAGCCAACGAGCCCATGTGCTATGATTGAAATGTGCGTCCCTTAATAACTCATGAGCTCTTTACCTTCAAATGTTTAAACTCCAAAATTACTTTGCTGTCTGTTTTATCCATGTTAGTGGAGATGACAGAAAATCTTTCAACAGAAACCCAAAAGCCTTTTTGAAGCCATTACCAGGTACAAAGCCTCAGACCTTTAGCTTCTCTAGTTGGATTTATTGTGTCAGCATGAAAGTCTTTTTTAAAAAAATAATGGAAATTGCTGTAATTATAATCACTTTAGAACACCATTATTATTATTAATAAGACCAAATTACATGGTTCAAGCAGCTGCTGGTTCTCTCCTGTTAGAAGGAAGTCATGTAATGGTATCTGAGCCCCAGCTCTCATCTCCATGCCAACGTGGGGCTGCTCACACACGGGCTTCCGGGTGGATGCCTGTGATGTCTTGGAAGGGTGTCAGGCTGAAAGAGGGACCCCAGTTTTTGATTAAAGCAGCCAGGGACTGAGCACATTCCCAGCCTTTCCCAGGAGAGAGCAAGGAGCACGGGGCTCTGGTTTCTGTTGAATCTTCTTGTACGGTCTCTCCCATTCACACCTAGATCCAATTATTCACAATGCCGAGGCTTGAGCATCACCATCACCCTGAAGGAAGGGGGTGCATGGAGGGGTGGCCGGGGCTGGGAGAGTCCAGTCTGGGTCATATGTTAAGTTCCTAATAGCTGAGGGTGAACAGTTCAGGGAGCTCTGGCTGATGAGAATAACAGGAGGCCAAAAACCAAAGAAAATAAGTCAGAAGGGAGGCAGGGAGGGGACCAGATGTTTGCCAGGTCATTGAGAACTTGGGTTCTGGAGTCCAACGGCCTGGGTTCAACTTGTGGTGCTCTCTAGAGCTTTGCTTTTGCCTTGTCCCATTGCCGTGGGAAAGTCACTCAACTCCAAGCTTCAGTTGTGCTGTCTACCAAATGGGGGTAAGAACTTGGGGCCCTTTAGAGGATTCCTGGGGAAGGCACCTGTAAGACATGTAACATGGTGCTGGCCACAGGGGGAGCCCTCCACACGATCTATGACTATCCCTTCATTTTCAAAAGATTCTTGGTTGTTTACTGCTTGAATTTACAAATCCATTTTTCTCTCCACCTAAGCAAGTTTTATTTTAGGCTTCAGAAAATCAGCAGAGCACATATGCAGGACTTTTGGCAATTAACAGAGAAAGAAAACTTCCATTAAGTTCAGAAGTCACCCCACAGCTTCCCCCTCTTGCCTGTTACAGACCCCCAGTTAGTGGTCTGAGATGTTTCAGGAGGAGGCAGGCAGAGAATGAATTCTGATTTACTTGTCATTAACACCTAAGAGTTTACAATAGGCATTTGGAAAGAGCACACATGAATTCTGCTATAAAGCAGCTTATTACTAAATCAGAACAAGGAGAAGGCACAATATATTTCATTTCCCGTCAAACATAAAAATTAAATCTGGATTGTTAAAAAGAGCCTTCCCTGGAAACATGAGAATGTATAAATGAGAAGTAACCTTGAATGAACTACTTCCTTGGCCTCAGTAAAGACAGCAGCATAAGATACTCAATGCCTTCTTCTTAATTCAATAAACTTTGTCATTTTAGACTAAAGGTGATTAGACTAATTAATAAAGACAAACTATTATTTGAGAGTCCCTTGGACAGCAAGAAGATCCAACCAGTCCATCCTAAAGGATATCAGTCCTGAATATTCATTGGAAGGACTGATGCTGAAGCTGAAACTCCAATACTTTGGCCACCTGATGGGAAGAACTGACTCATTGGAAAAGACCCTGATGCTGGGAAAGATTGAAGGCGGGAGGAGAAGGGGAAACAGGGGTTGAGATGGTTGGATGGCATTACCGACTCAATGGACATGAGTTTGAGTAAACTCCGGGAGCTGGTGACAGACAGGGAGGCCTGGCGTGCTGCTGTCCATGGCGTTGCAAAGAGTCGGACACGACTGAGTGACTGAACTGAACTGAACTTTGGGTGTCAAGACCCACACTGCCCAGATTAATTTTTGTTGTTGAGTCGCTCAGTTCTGTCCAAGGGATTTCCCAGGCAAGAATACTGGAGTAGGTTGCTATAGTCGAGAAAATTCTCTTCCACTCAAAACATCAAGACACACATTCCCAGGTGGTAATGATTATTTGTTCCAAAAGATTATCCTTGGGCCACAAGAGAGGTTCACCCTCAATAGTTCAGCGAAATCTCATGAGAAATGAAATGTACCAGACTCTCACTGCCAGCGCGTGCTTTCACGTGGTGGCCTTCACCAGCACCAACCTCTCCTGGCCAAGTTAAGCTTTGTCAGCTGACTCCCTCCCTCTAGACTTCTCACTGCCCCCCAACCACCCTCCACCGGAGATGCCAAAAACAGCCCTTAGATGAAAGGCAACCAGAATCAAAGTTTTGAGCCGCAATACATTTTTGAAGGCTTTTCTCTTTTCAACTAATTAAACAAGTATAGAAGTTATTCAGTGGGGTTTCTTTTTTTAAAGAGATTAGCATGGCAAGTCTTTGCTCTTAAGAAAGTCTTGAATAATTTAATTAGAATTACACCGAAGTCATGAGTATGTGCTATTTATGGAGGAATCACAGCTGAATTAAAAACCAAATGACAATGTTAAAAATAAAAATAAAGTATCTTCAGACAGCATATTCGATCAATAAGAAAAACTTGACTCGAAATCACAGATTGAGTAGTTTGGAAGGAGGAGGGGAGCCAAATCTACTCCTAGGATTTGGTTTTTCTTAAAATGTCTGGGCCTGGGCAGATGGGTTTCTTGCTACAAAAAAGTGGTAATAACTGAAAATCAGGATAAGATCGCTGTTTGATTTTAATTTGTCATTGGGCGACCACTTGGTCTCCGGGAGCCTGATTCAGCCCATGTTTTTTTTCCCCAGTCTCTTTACTGCATTTAGCACGTTCCATACACGTGCATAGACTCTTTCATCGGTGCCGAGGTCCCGGGCAGCCTGGAGCCGCTGGGTAGCTCGGAGGAAACTGACAAGCCAACTCGGAGAGAGAGAGCAAAGTGGCGCCGTGGAAGCACGGCTCCTTCCAACCGGCAGCTAGCAAGCCAGCCTGCTAAGACAGCGTTGCTTTGAGCTGAGATAAAGCCAGAATCCCTTGTAAGGCCGTTGGAGGCCGGCCACGAGCCTCCTGAGCGATGAGACAGCACCCGGGTTGGGGTGGGAATATTAGCGCAAAGTGATTTCCCCCGGATCAGCAGCATCGCTCCCTGGGCCCACCGAACAGTCTCTTCGCTGAAAAGAGGTGTCGCTCGCCAGGGGCAATGCCATTAGAGGCAAGTTACAGGTCTCTCTCCTCGCAGGCACATGGTGATGAAGAGCTAACAAGTTCGGAAGCACGCACCCTGGCTGTGCCGGGGGCTGGGCAGCTCCGCATCCCGACCTGGGAGTGCGCGCGCCCCGACTCCCGACCTGGAGCCCTGCTGGGTCCCCACGATCTTCTCTCCGGGGACAGCTGCTTCTGCTTTGTGGGAGACGCTAAGCTGCGAGGGAGGCACAGCTGGGCGCCCCAAGAGTCCCCGAGAAGTCCCGGCTGCAGGGCGCCCGGTCCGAGCGGGCTAGCGAGCGCGCACCGACCTACCTTCTGCGGGGGGGTCCCAATCTGCATCTCCAGGTAGTAGCCGCGGCCGGAGTCCCCCTGCAGGTTATCCACCATGGCCAAGAAGTTGGCCGCACTCCCAGCGGGTTCCAGGGCGAGCGCCAGGCCATCCGCGCGGGGCTCAGCGGGGGGTCCGGGCCCTGGGGTAGGCACAGCCCCCCGACTGGTGGTCGAGGCCACTCGGAGAGGCAGCGTGAAGGGCGCGGAGGCCAGCGCCGGGGCCGCTCGCAGGAGCCACTGAGCCAGCAGCGGCAGCAGCAGCGCCCGGGCCAGCGCGCCCATGCCCGCGGCGGGGCCCGGGGGGCGCGCTGGGCCGGGCCCGTCCCGTCCGGCGACAGCGGCTCAGCGACTCGGCGGCGCGCTGGGCTGCGGGGCAGGGCTGGGCGCGCAGCGGGGCCGGCGGCGGCGGACCGGAGGAGGAGGACCGGGAAGGAGGCGCGGCCGGAGCGGGAGGAGGAGGCGCCGGAGCCGCCCCAGCCCGCGCCAAGTTCTGCAAGTTGGTCGCCGCTGCCCCCTCTGGCGGGCGGCGGCTGCCCCGCAAGGGCCGGGCCCCTCCCCGCCCCGGCCAAGGTCAAAACGAGGCGCGGGGTGAGCTCGGGTCCCCTCAGGCTGGCCCCGTTCACCCTCTCTCTTCTCGGGCGGCGCCTCTTTCCCGGGAAACTCGAGTCCCCAATTTCCTCGGAACGCGCCCCGCTGCCGCGGACAACGGATGTGACGAGGCTCATCTGATACCAGAGGGGAAAGTTTCGGGAACCCTTAAAGGGGCAGCGAGGGCCTGAACGGGCTCCCTGGCCCCGCGCACCAGGTGCCCCGCAGGTGTTCCCCAGCCCGGCAGTGGCGGGGGCTGCCAGGGGTAACGTGGGGGTCAGAGGGAAGTGCAGGGAATCGTAAAAACGCCGCGAGCATCTCAAGGAGTGTAAGAGTCTGCGCCTCCCCTCGCCAAGTCCGTCCCTGCAGCTTTTCAGCCTTCCCGGAGTCCGGCTGCTTCTCGGGGCATTTTTCCGTGCACTGCGCACCCCCACCCCCACCCGCGTTCCGCACCCCCACTTCTGGGGCCCCTGGATGATTTTGAGGAGATCTGATTGGAGGCTGGGAGAGGTGAGGGTTGGGAGAGCCGGGCGAGGAGGCGAGAGCTTTGGAGACTTCCCTCTAAAAATCCTGGGGGAGGTGGGGGGTTCTTGCTGCTGTAGCTGCGCCGGCCTCGGTTCTCCCTCTGCGCCCAGCGTTTCGGCTGGGAGGTAGCCTCTGCAGCTGGCTTTGAGCCTGGGGTTCTCTGCCCCCTGCTCGACCGTAATGCAGATGGGATGCTGCTCGTAGCTGCACTTCACCTGCCCCAGGACTCCCTCACTCTACCGGGCAAGTTGCAGTCATCATCCAAAATCAGGGCCATTGAATTTACAGCTCTGCCTCCATCCCTCCCGCTCCCGCTTCCCCCAAGCTCTCCGCGGATTATCTAATTAATACTTGTTTAGCCACAGACACCAAGGCGGACCCAGAAATGCATTCAGTAATGCAAGCCATCAGAGTGATTTTATTTTAGATATTAAACGCAGGGGGGACAATTACACGAGCTGAAGTCCATCGATTTCTACTGAAACGGGGAGTAGACAATGCTTTTTACCTCCTCCAGCTGAATTATGTTAGCTGTTTTTTAAAAAACCAAACAAGCCCATCTTCAAACAGTGGGGAGGTTGGAGGAATCTTCCCTCCTCCCTGCAATTTCCAGTTACTGCTACTCAAGATTTGATTTTTATTCCTATCTTTTCAATTTTAGAATCGTGTCTAGCTCTGCAAGGGACCCTTATGTCAGAGATCTTCAGTTGTATTGATTTTCAGATGACTTTAACTATAAATCATACTTTTCCCAAACTATATCTCAACTTTAACAAATCCCTGGCCACACAAAGAAAGTCCTGGTTGGGTCCTGGGATATAACCTAAGTTGATATTCCCCATAAATCTGCATAGTGATTCCAGAGCTATTATATTCATATATTCACATTTCAAATTCAAGGTTGGAGAAGTGTAATTTTTTTAAAATGATTATTTATACTCCTCAGTGTCCAGTCTTGAGGGGTTCAAAAAGACATCAAGACAGCTCTCCAAAGACTGCAACCTTGTAAAAAACTCATGAAATTTATTAAGGACATTGACACACGGGCTACGTGACATAGAAGTTCAACATAAGAGACATTTGCTCTAATAATTAAACAGCCCAGAAGAAGTTTTTAAAAACCGAGTCTAATTAAGGTTTGTCCTTCAGGAAACTCCTCACTCCATCTAATATGAGTATTCATGAGCTTTTCATTTTAAGAGAGCTTGTTTAGGTTTGTGGGTAAACAGATGCAGTAAAATATAGTCACAGAGGACCTCAGGCAGTTTTAATGGAGGGCAGAGCTGCCGCATCAGAAAATAATGCAGACAGAAGTGACAGCGTCTGATGACTGTCCCATTGGTGGCATCTGTTTTTATGGTCTTAGAATTCTTGATCCCTGCTCAGAAATATGGTGCTGGCTGGATTTGGGAAACAATCATTTTACCTTCCAGGTGTTTTTAACTGAAATCATATGTGGTAATCCTCCCAAAGGGTGGCTTTGGGTTTCTTTTATAGCATTCTTGAAGGGCTTCAAGAAGTATCAATCTCAGATATGCAGATGACACCACCCTTATGGCAGAAAGTGAAGAGGAACTAAAGAACCTCTTGATGAAGGTGAAAGAGGAGAGTGAAAAAGTTGGCTTAAAACTCAACATTCAAAAAACTAAGATCATGGCATTTGGTTCCATCACTTCATGGCAAATAGATGGGGAAACAATGGAAAGAGTGTCAGACTTTATTTTCTTGGGCTCCAAAATCACTGCAGATGGTGACTTCAGCCATGAAGTTAAAAGACGCTTGCTCTTTAGAAGAAAAGCTATGATCAACCTAGACAGCATATTAAAAAGCAGAGACATTACTTTGCCAACAAAGGTCCATCTAGTCAAAGCTATAGTTTTTCCAGTAATCATATATGGATGTGAGAGTTTAACCATAAAGAAAGCTGAGCACTGAAGAATTGATGCTTTTGAACTGTGGTGTTGGAGAAGACTCTTGACAGTCCCCTGGACTGAAAGGAGTTCAAACCAATTAATCCTAAAGGAAATCAGTCCTGAATATTCATTGGAAGGACTGATGGTGAAGCTGAAACTCCAATACTTTGGCCACCTGATGAGAAGAACTGACTCATTGGAACAGACCCTGATGCTGGGAAAGATTGAAGGCAGGAGGAGAAGGGGATGACAGAGGATGAGATGGTTGGGTGGCATCACTGTCTTGATGGACATGAGTTTGGGCAAGCTCTGGGAGTTGGTGATGGACAGGGAAACCTGGCATGCTGCAGTCCATGGGGTCGCAAAGAGTCGGACACAACTAAGCAACTAAACTGACTGAGTGAAGGGCTTCTCCAAGGAAGAAGCCACTTCTCCAATGTGGGTGAACAATGCAGTGGGGAGGGAGGAGATGACCCCTCACTCCTTGAGGACAGTCCCACATCCTCTTCAGACTGGCCTGTGTTCCCTTACTACACCCATAGCTCCCCCCTCTCCTCTCCCACTCCTTCTCACCCTTCTTCTCCCCTCTCCCTTCCTCCCACTCCTTCCTCCAGCCTGAACACCTCCACTCTCGGCCACACTTTCTTGGCCCACTCAGGAGCAGTGAGATGGTCCTTCCCTCCTTGCAAAGAGCAAATACCGTCATCATGCCCCTGGACAGCAGGAGGTGAGATAGGGTCTCACCTCCCAGCCCACACTGTTCACCAGGGATTCCTTCCATGAATACAAGGTGTTTGGCCAGAAAGGTTTCATTGACATGTGTGTTGATGTTCCTTGGCTTGTTCACTGGCTCTGAGTTCCTTTGACACCAGCAGTTCTCAGAATTTTTCGTTTAAGGTCCATCTTAAAAATTGATGACCCCAAAGAGCTTTTATTTATGTGGGTTTTATCTATCAACAGTCAGCGAATCAGGAACTAGAAGTGAGAAATTTTAACAGTATGCAGTAATTCATGTAAAATCGCCATAACAAACCCACCACACAGCAACATCAATAACGTTTTAATAAAAACTAACTTTACTTTTCAAAAGATGAGAAGAATCACATTATTTCTGCACTTTTGCAAATCTCTCTGTGGCTTAATAGAAGGCAGCTGGATTGTGATATCTGTATCTATATTCAGTCTATCAGGAAGTTGATGGAAAATTCTGTCCAACAGGCAGGAGAGAATGAGTGTGAACAAGGCAAATAACATTTTTGTATTATAAAAAATGTTTGGAGCTAAAGGACCTCCTGAAAGGGTCAGTCTACATTTTGAGAACTGCTGCTTTGCGCTATCTTTTTGGTTTTTATGTTTGCATCTTAAATCATTTTCAACATAAAAAGAGTCCTTTGTACCAGGCACTGTGTCAACAACAGAGAGGAAAAGGCGAAACAAGAGCTGGTCCTTAAGTTTGCAGACTAGACCCAGGAGCCAGTCCCAATATCCTAGTGATGTCTGGCCTCCCCAGACTTAGCAGGAGGGGATCCCTGCCACTGTAGCCAGAAGAAGCTGGTCCATTGATCTCTTCATTCTCCTGCAGCTTCATTTCCCACCTGTCTCCAGGTGCCTTCTAGGCAACATCTGAACATTTAGGTTAAAGTCTTCTCTTCTCTCTTTTTTTAAACCTGCCCTGATCCTTCCCCTCTGCAGCTGCTGCTGCTAAGTCACTTCAGTCGTGTCTGACTCTGTGCGACCCCATGGATGGCAGCCCAGCAGGCTCCCCTGTCCCTGGGATTCTCCCGGCAAGAACACTGGAGTGGGTTGCCATTTCCTTCTCCAGTGCATGAAAGTGAAAAGTGAAAGTGAAGTCACTCAGTCATGTCTGACTCTTCGTGACCCCATGGACTGCAGCCTACCAGGCTCCTCCATCCACGGGATTTTCCAGGCAAGAATACTGGAGTGGGTTGCCATTGCCTTTTCCACCCCTCTGCAGTTACTGCTCCTAATCCCCTGCCCCCTGAATATGCTGCCTGCACTCCCATCCCAACTTCCACCCTGTCCTTCACTCCTCACTTACAAGTCCCCATCCATACATGGACAGACTGTGCCCTGGTGGACAGTCTCCAGCCTCATCCTACCCACCCCCTGGGCAGCATTCCACACTGGGTTCTCCATCCGCGTCTCCATCAAGCCCGACTCTTCACTAGAATCACCCAGGGATCCTTCAGGTGACTCTTACCTAGAGGTTCCCATTCAGTTGGTTTGGGGCATGGCTCCTGAATTGCTAGTTTTCAAAGCTTCCAAGTGAATCTGGAATTTGAACCTGGGAGAAATGACTTTAACAAATCATATTGAAGAGGCTCAGTGCCCCCATTGTCCTGAATTGATTTGGAAATGTCAGTATGCACCCAGAGGTCTTTCATATTTAAAAAAACAATTTCTTGCTGTGTTGAGTGAAAAGACCTAGAAAAAAGTGAGCATCCCTAGTGCCTGAATTAAGGTTTCTAAATATTATTTCCCTCTACTCCAGGCCTCTTTGGAGAAGGCTGATTTCAGGCCTGGAGCAGAAACCCAATAAAATGACCCTGGGATATCTCATCATACCGAGAGTGAGGATGTTTATCAAAGGTTCCTGAGGTCCTGTCAAGAGCCAGGGCAGAGCTGCAACCATTTAAACATCATTAGAAGTAGTAATTTCAATGGCTCGGAACATTTCAATTATGTTGAAACCTATTCGTTCATGATGTTCTTTTACAAACTACATCGATTATCTTTGAAGAATGCTAAGGCACCCAACTAATTATTTTTAAAAACTGGCAGAGAAAGGAGAAGAATCAAGGATTCGTTATCTTCACTTTCTTGTACAAACCATGCCTTAGTAGAACTGAATAGCTGATGAAGGGGAATTTCTCTTTATAGAAGTATTACAGCTAATAAATGAAGGATGATGGAATTAGACTTGCCATTTTGTGGCCCCTAATGATTTTTTAAAATATCTTATTTATTTTTGTATTTGGTTGGTTAGGTCTTTGTTGTATCATGTGGGATCTTTCCTTGCAACGTGAGGGCT